ATAATCTCTTTAATATGAAAGCAGAGAATAATATTTTTTTTCTAATACCTAATCATCAAAAAACAAAACTGGAGAGAAAAAGTTTTGATGATTTTTCATCCAAAGGCAGCGAAACAAATTTAAAAATAATTCACTTTAAGCGTTCAATTTATTTGAACACTTTTATAACAAGAGAAATTAGATTTGTAATTGTCAATTGATCTTGGGTGATATTAGAGGAAAATTATTTATTTTACAATAACGTTCAGAACCAAGATAATCGGAATATAGATTTATTTATAATTAACCATGCAATATAATTATAAAAATGTTGTTATATGTATACTAAGAAAAGAAAGAACTGGTTAAAAAAATTATACAAATGATATAAAATAATAAATTTTAAAAATCAAAAGCGCAATAATAAAACAATTTACTTTTTAAAGAAAAAGATATATTAATAAAATAAACCTGCTAAATAATATTTTTTATTTATAAAATAAAAAAACAGGCTGTTTGTTTCATGTTTCTTGGAGAAGTAAACAACGTTTATTTTATAACTGAAAACAAGTGAAATTTTTTCAATATCTTAAATAGTTTTTAAACAATCTTCATTCTTCAAATCTCCAGTAGCAAAAAGTTAAACAAAAAAGTTATTTCATATGAAATGAGGCAAGGCAATCAAATTGTGACACGTTAATATACATCAAAACTGTTGTGTTTGGAATAAACTTTACAGATTTATTTTTATATTGTTTTCCTCTTGCTGGAACCCGCAGGAAATAGCCCTTCGAATGAAAATTATAGCTGCGAAAAAAGGCGCGGGTCGATATTCTCCGCCACCGTTTATATGACACCTCCACAAATAAACCCAAAACGGAACCCTCCAAACTTTCCACGCCGGCAAACAAAGCTAAGCCTGAAAAACGCGGCGCGCTCTTTCGTTTGCGCGTGGGAGGGTGGAAATCAATTAATAATCAAATCAAGTGTTAATGGAGTTGCGCCGCCGCCGCAGCGTCGCCGGCAATTCGGGTGCGCGAAAACAAAATATCGGCGCAGACCTAGAACAGCCGAGTTTAATATATATGAAATGTTTTTTCAGCCGTTCGCTTTCTCGAATGCGCGACCCTCTCTTTCTTTTTTCTCACATGTTTTATAGAGCGGCGGCGGCACAGCATGCAGTTGAGGCTGATATGTGACATGGTCTAAATATTTCACAAGAAGGCCGAAAAAAGAAGACGACGAGATGTGTTGGTTGGCTGCTCGGCAGTAAATATATTCCCTGCTCCTCTTTTCCTTGCTTGCTTGCATGTTCTATTTAATACAAAATGGCGCCTGCAAAACACACACACACACATACTAGCTCGCTCGCTTGCTTTTCCGGCCGTAGTAAATCACCCTCTCGGAATGCGGCCTCCTCGAATGCAGATAGCTGCTTTCACCAGATTAGACCCTGGATATATCCGAACTCAAGAGAGAGAGAGAAGCGCTTGAGAAAAATACGCTTGGTTAACAGGTGTGCCCGGAAAATGCGAATTTCTCCGTCTGGCAAACACTCCGCAGTGGATTCCTACGACACTAACCGCGCGGATCCGTTTCCTTCTGAGAAGAATGAAAACCGAACAGTTTTCCATAAGCAATCGCAAACTTTTACATAGGTCAACAGGTTTCTGTTTTTGTCAACACCTCACAACTTCAAAGAAATGTAAGGGCGGAAAACTTTTTTTTATAAATAAATTCAAATAAACTTAATGATTAAAAACATTTTCCCATTCCGAGAAATTGATCAAATTTTAGTTTATATGATTTTATAATTTTTCTAGGTCTTAATATTGAAGTATTTATTTCCCAAATCAATTTAAGTAAATTGTTGAAAAAAAAAATAATAAAAATTTGAACTAAATTTAATGAATGGCACCCTTATTCAACGGAATTCATATCAAAATAACAAAAGAAATCGTCGTTGAAATCACTATGAACGTTTTATATTATAGCAGATGAGATAAAGTCCTTGAATTAAAACAATTGTAATTTTTTTTTGCAATTACAGCAAGTTCTTTAACCATTGGCCAGCAGCGGGTGCAATTACGAACATTATACTGGGCAGGTCTGCCATATCTAGGTGCGATGATCACTCAAGTTATGACAAAAAAGCCATTTATATACCGGCCCAACATGCGACCACTTGCGGATTCCGTGCAGCTTTTCCAGCACGAATGGCTCGGCAGTTTTTCGTGTGTGTATCATTAGCGCCGGGGAAACACACTCGTGAAACAAAACTGCAGCGGCAAAGCGTTGGTGGCGGCAGCGCAAACAGAAATTTAATCACACCTGTATGATTTCTCTCTCCGCATGAAATAACACTTTAATGAGAGTGTGCACCGGGTGGATACGGAGGCATAACGAGTTTCGCACGGAGCGCCGCGATTGCGTTCGATTGTTTGTCATTTGACGCTTTTTAATCGGCCGCTCGCGTTTACAGGCGCCTGACGTTTTTATTGTTAATGTGTTGCCATGAAGCTGACTGCCGATGCGCGGAGTTACGTGTGGGCTTTTTCAATATTATGAAAACTGATAACTTTGATCTTTGGTGAATGTGTGAGCTGCGAGTTATAAAAGCGTTTTCAAATAATGTGTTGTAGTGTAATAGTGATTCATATATATTCACTAAACAGTGAAAGCTTGCAAAAGCTGTGCTAATTAGTTTGAAGAGAACAATAATCAAAAATGAAAAAAATGAAATAATTTATTAGATAAAATTACCATTATTACGGCTTGGTTATTAATATTTTCGAATTATAAATCATTTTAAAAAAAAAATTTAATTTATAATTCAAGTTATTTATAAAATTAGTGCAAAGTTTGCAATTTATTTGTATTGCATTTAAACAAAACCACGTGCCTAAAAATAATTTTGCTACCGCCTTTATAAATTATTTAAAAAAAATTATCTTATTGCAAAAAAAAAAAAAAATATTAAATCGTACATGTTCTGATTATCTCATTAAAAAGGTAAAATAAATTTCATTTTGTATGCTTATGAGGCAATGTATATTAAAATTTGTAAAATATTAATATTATCGTTTGATTCAAAATGGTATTACATGAATGAATCATAAGTTCATGATTCAAAGCACGTTTTGGCACTGCTCATTAAGTATCCGCCGAACATAATCAGATTTGAAGTACTTAACCCCCAATTAAAAGTTTCACCCTCCCGAAGCGAATCTCGACCGATACACAACCGCGCTCGCAATGCTTTTCCATTAGGGTGAGGGACAAGAAGTTGTGCGCGACGGCTCATTATAAGGCGCCAAACTCTTTGCTAAGCCCTTAGGAATCATCAAGTATGCAACCTGCTGGGCACGGACGCGCGGCAAAAAGCCTACGGAAATTCCAAAAAAATATTGAAAGCGAATAATTGGTGGCGGCGCCTCAGTGATTTTGCATAATTTACAAGTATGTCGAATGGGGCGGGTTGCCCGTTTTACGGGCGAATTTATGATCAAGGTGTGCGAGTGGAGCGACGGGTCAAAAGTGTGCAGTGCCGTTTGAATGAGTCATGTCCACCTTTTATGGTAATGATGTAAAGTTCGACCGATGCTCTCCGTAAAAAGCCGACGGCGGCACGAGATGTGTGCCCTCGAGCAGCGAGCGCGCGCTCTCTGCATGCATGCATGTATAATAAAAAGGTCGGTGGGTTGTTATAATGTATGGCGCTGCCAGTGAAAGATATTGATGCAAAGTGGAGGGTCGCTGGCTGGCTCACACTATGGCTGCCTCGCTGATGAGAATACATTAAGCATGCCACACAAAAACTATGCATCATCATGGCAGCAGCGAGTCCGGGAACAAAAAATTATTTAGCAGCGCGCGGCCCTCCCAGAGTTTCGCAGACATGCTCTGCATTCTTGAATGCCTACGCTCTTTAGCATTTCAAATAGTATGCCTTCTTGTTCTCTTACCTAAGAATTTCTTAATATTCAAGCCACAAAAAGAAAAAAATTCAGAGGAATTCCAAAATGATATTTTATGAAAGGTGTCTCACATTTTTCAATATGCTTATATTATTGTCACTCTCTCGAGGGTGCAAAGCCTCAAGAGCTCTTTCGCTTCGTTATCTCTGCATCTCTTTCAGAACGGCCGAAAGCAATCCATAACTCGAGTGGCGCAGCTCGATTGAAATTTTATGTTAATGCTCGGCAATTATAATCCCATTTGCCGACTCAAATAATATTTAGCCGTGTGTGTAGCCCTCGCTAATGACGAGCGTCGCGATGACGTCCAAATTGCCAGAGCACGAAATCAAAGGGCCCTGCTCTCGTCTTGTGAATTTATCGCATGTTGTCGCCCCTCTCTCATAATCAACCCACACACCAAAGCTTCGTGTCAATAAACGACGGCGCGCTTTGCTTGCACGCAAATAAGGAAAGTTTTGAGTTCCAAAATACGTGTCCAACTGAATGCAGTAATTTTTTTTTAATATAACGTATTAAATGAACTATATAAAAAGAACTGTAGGAAAGCATCCTAGCTCAAAAACATAATCTGAAGGTCTTCAAACTTATGGTGACATCACAAACGAGAGAATTATATTTATTTTACTTTTGCTCATTAACATGATAACTAAAATCAAATTTTATAAATAATATAGAAAACAAAAATAGACGAAAATCATCAGAAAACGTTAATAATTTTATTGCAATTACTTAAAACAAAAAATAAAACAATGAAATTTAATTAAATGAAAAAATGTTGCTTTAAATTTTTATTATAAATTACAAGTGTTATAAAATTTATTAATTAACTTAATCTTCTGTACTCATCCTTCTTTTTAATTAGAATGTAATATATAAAATTATAATCAAGTTTGAAAAATTTAGTTTGTATGCTCAAATATTTGGATAACTTAATTATTAGATTTATTCTACACTTTTTCCCCTTTTGCTAAGATCGCAGTTAAGCAGGTATATTTATTTGTATCGATTTTCGCGCGAGATAAAATCAAAAAGTGTACTCACTGTGTTGCGAGGGGGTGACCGAGGTGAGCGGTCGGTAGAAGTGGTGCGTGCTGCTCTCCCCCGAGGGACTTGGGGGCGCGATGCAGCCCTCGGTGGGGCTGACGGGCGCTTGGGGCTCTTGCGGTGTCCAACAGTCGCGGGCCGACGCCTGGTATTTGGGCTTCTTGACCATGTAACAGCGAGGCATGATGAAGGGCGCAACAAGTGCAGTGGCGGGCGGAGTGCGAAGTGCAGCGAGCGGATGTGTCTGAGTGGGTGGCCCACCTGTTGTCCACGGCCCCGACCGAAATCCTCTTCACCAATCGGCACACTGCACACACGCAATCAGTCGGATTAGCCAAGTCGACAAATAAGCGGCCAAAATTTTAATAAAAATAAAAATCTAAAAATCAAAATTTCTTCAGGGTTGAAAAAGAAGGGGAACATCAGTGCCGAATTTTCGATCCGGGGTTGAAACCGCGACGGACAGTTCGGGGGAGAAACTACTGCCACTACTACCGCCGGCGACAGCAGAGAAGAGAAGAGGGTGAGAAGAAGGGAGAAATCGGAACAACTTCGATCTGCCCTCGGCGGGGGTGGAAATCGCCGTTCGGGTGCGGCGAAAATGACGAACGGGCGTCGGCACAACACGGACGTTGAAAATTCGGCACGATTCGGCGGTTTCGGCGGCCAAGGGTGGGTGGATCAGCACTGGCCATACAAACCTGTAAGAAAAAGCACCCCCTGTTTCAGCAAGCAACTCAACTCGCCTGTCTGCGTGCCACACCAGGCCGGCGTCGGATTGTTGGCGTGGAGGGGTTGTTTCTCGGGGGTGGGGGTCGGGGCGCGTGCGCCGCAGGGGTGGCTGCCACCCTTGCCGTGGTGCCGCATGGCCTCAGACTCGCCCCGTCGCGGCACATCGATCTGCAAAGCTGTTGGCAACACCTGTTACCAGTCGGCTGGCGCGGCGAGCCTTCCCCATCGATTTTCCACTTACCCTCCCCTCCGACGACGGGGTACATGCCGTATGCGCCCTATGTGTACATACTACGTGCATTCGAGCCACTTTGGCTTGCAATCATTTTTCAGACTACATGCATGCAATCGCGGCGAATTAAAGGGCAGCGAAACGTGTAATTTAAAGAAGCAGATTTTCTTTCCTCGAGATTGTGTATGTAAAAAAAAAATAAGCCGAGTTTATGCTGCTTTTAATGCGCCTCTAGAGTATTATGCTGCGAGTGGATTCTTATTCAAGAAATTAATTAGCATGGCAAGATTTCTTACAGTGAACGTGAAATGCACTACATTAGCTCCTCCACGCCGTTGCGGTTCAAGGGAGTTGCCGACGCGAAATGGGATTTATTAACGGCTGTGCGCTATATTCATTCTCTTTGAACGATTCAACACCCATCGGATCTAAATATAGCTCGGTTTTCCCGGGATTGAAAGTAATTAATTAGTTTGAATTACGACCTGCACGATCACAGCTCAAAAACGGAAATGATGATTATATCTGATTTCTTTCTTTTCGTCTGTTGTTCCAAAAAAACATTTCATCCACAGAGGTAATTAGCTACAATTAAGTTAAATTTTCTACTAACTACTATTCTTTTTCTTTTGAATATTGAACTTTTGACTGTCAATTAATTAATGGAGTTAACTGTACATGAAAAACAAATTTTTTTTTTCAAATAATTTGCATTTAAATCAATCTAAATGTGGCTATATAATGATCTAAAATAAAATTATTTGTCGCTTTTATTACACTTTTTTCATGAAATTATTAACATACATTTATTAATAATTTGAAAGAAGTATTTGTATGATATTAAATAAATACTAGTTCATTGCCATGTCCCTCGGTATATTAATAAATTATTATTATAACAATTTTAAAATTTATTAATATAAGATATAAATTTAAAAATAAATAAAATGCATGGAGATTTTTAAAAATAATATGTAAGTGTTGCAGATACATAAAAAAATTTTATGTTATTTGATGAACAATGAACAGAAATAATCAAAAATGGCTAAGTATGTTAAAATACAATCAGGAACTTTAAATTTTATCTAGGTTTTGATACGATTTAAAAATATTATAAATTCTTTTAAGTACAAAAATAATTTATTTAAAATTTTAAATATTTTTTAGCTTGCCACGTTTATTAAATATTTTATCAAAACAAAAAAAATGTAATTTGCCCTTTTTATCACACCTGATTTCTCCCACTTTTGCTCGCGTTTCTGTGTGTCGACAATCTGCGCCCACTCGCACACACAAGGCGCTGAATTTTCCATCATTTGGGGTGCCACGAACAGCGGAGGCACGCTGCTCTCTCTCTCTCTCAGCGTTGCCTGGTACGCACTCTATTTGTAAAGAAGTATCTAATTTCCGGCAACCAATCATACATCTTTACTTTATCAGCGGCGCACGCTATTTCGGTCGGCGCGGTGGAAACTCAAGAAGATCTTTGTCGGCTGAGCGCGCGCGGAAGAAAGAGCGAAGATGCGTTTGTTATTTGGCATTTCCCCAAGACACGATGATGGTGCATGGTGGCGGAGTCGTTAGCCCAAGAAAAACCAAAGGGAGAGAATGAACAAATTGCCTGTGAATGCTGCCGCTGCACGCCTGCCACACACACTTCTTCTTCTTCTCTCCGCCCAAGATGGAAGCTGCGGGTGTGCGCCTGATTTTGCTCACCACCCACTCAGGCCTCTCTCGAGCTTAAATTTAGCGAGAGCGCGCGATGGGTTTGGGCGAAAAGTGACATGAAAGGAACGAGAGCGAGCGGCCGGCTTAAGAGATTTATATCGCAAATTTGCGATTTTCGCCTGCTTCTCATTACGCGCGCCTCTGCACACGCCAATACATCGTTTTGCACTGTATAAATGGAGAGCAATTTTATACAAAACACATTTCAGAATCACACGCCAAAGTTGAAAGAATAATAGATTGTTATAAATATCAATAAGCGAAACAATTTAAAAATGCTTAAAAAATTTGGTTTAATTCAGTTATTTTTTTTTTCGTTCAACTGTAAAAGTATATTAAACTTCATTTGTTAAATGGATTTAAAAAACAGAAGACACATAAAATTATTGTTCATAAAAATTAGTTGAATCTACCAATTAGCAATTTTTGTGAATCTCTCTGTCAATTTTTTTCTTTCATACCAATATCACCAATGACTCTCAATAAAATATATAAACTATAAATTTATATTTCCATTTATAAAACTGAATGGCGAAATTCTTCACTCTTTCAAAAGTTATATTGCAGAAATGCAATATTTCACTCTGCTTTCGACGAATAAAAAGGCTATAGGCGTATTCGTTGCGGCGGCCAACTTGAAATGCAGTTTGCCTGCACGGCACACAGAGAGAGTTTGCGCAACACAATAAATAAAGCATTCGGCTGGCAGCGGGAGATAAAATTTTTGCAATTGTAAACACCACGTCGAGTGTCTCTCCCAACTGGTATTGAGTGAGTCTGGGTTTGTGCTGCAGTTTATATGCAGCAGCTCTCGGAATTAAAACTTTTGCACACAGCCGCAAATAAATGTAACTCTGGCCGACACGTAATCCAATAGTGAATGCAAATCTCTGCCGACATGCGAGAGAGCGGGAGACAGCAACATTAAAAATTCATACTCCAGGTGAATGCAAAATTAAAACACAATACATGTAGGTCGTAAGCACCCGGCGCTTTCCATATGCCGAGTGCGCAATTTATGCGAAGGGAATGCTCATTTATCTGCGCGCGCGTTGTGCTTTGCAAAGCATTAGAGCCCTCAGTTGGCTCCACCACGGAATTGAAAAAGTTAAAGACAGTTTGATTTTTTTTCTTCCTGCGCTTTTGCCTTTTGAATTATATTCTATTTACAAAATTTTATTGCTGTTATATTATGTTGTTTATTTAAGAGCAAAAAAATTTAAAGCTAATAATATTAAATTTTAAGATTAAATTATGGTGTTATTTTAAGCAATTTAATTATTTATTGGAAAATTAATAATAAGTATTTTTTAATTTTAAAGATTGCAAGTATATTTATAAGGAACAAAGAAAATTGTCCATATAAATTAAACTTTCATAATAAATATTTATTATAAATCATCTCTATGATTCAGATGTTTAATGTTGGAATATAATTTGAATTGATGTCGTGTATCCTCTTAATTTGTCTACATTATTATGTTTATTTAATTGTAACAAACAAAAGATCACTACTTAAAAAATTATTATAAATAGAAGAAATAATTTTTTTTATCCATCACCGGGCTTTCTATGTCTAATAAATACATAATTTTTGCTACTTCAAAGATAATTTACAAATAGCAAAATGAATAATAGAAAAAATTTGTACTTATTAGCTCGGAAATAATATTAAAATATGGTCATTGAAACATAAATTCTTAAACATATGAGCTGAAATTACTGGCTTGCAACTAATTTTAAAGCGGGCATGCGCGCTTAACAGAAATTTGTAAATTGCAATTTAAAATAAAAAAAATATGCTAGTATTTGTCTTTTTAAAACTCCGCTTATAATCCTGATTTTCTGTAAAAAGACAAACTTGTTTTTTTCACACGGCTGAGGGTTCTAGGAGCCGTTTTGAAAAATGGCAAGCAGTCTACCTGACTTGCTATTTCAAATCTGTGCGCCTCTCCACCGACTTACTCACTCTAGCTTTTGCACTTGAGTGAATAAATAAAATATTATGTGCGCAATTTTCAGCATGCAGCGCGCGCCCATAAAAACACAGCACACACACGCGTCTTTTCTTCGCTCCACTCGGAGGCAAGGCATGATAAAAAGCGTGCATTAGCGCTCTACGAACTGCCAAGTGCATTTTCCTGATTGCACGAGTATAGAAACGCGCATTTCGTGCTGCTGCTCGGAGCACAAAAAATAAAGAGAAGGTTCTTTCGTATAAAAATTTACTAGGTGAAGTGCAGCTAACGTGGTGCTGCGCCGGCATTGCATTATAGCACACAAAAGTGCTTGTTTATCCCAGTTTGCAATTTGCAAAGAGAAAAGGCGGCTGTAGGAATGTCGTACCTACCTTTTCGCGCCGAGTGTTTTTTCCGCTCACTTCGAGGGAAATTGTCACGTCGCGTGTTAACTTTCCTGCTTCGTCGGGTAGTTAAAAGTGCGGTGAACGAACTTATTTCTTTTTTAAAGAACGATATACTTTATCTGATGAATTTGTGAGTTTACCCCTTCATTTTTTCCAACATTAATAAATTTTTTTCTTTTGTACAAAATGTCAAACTTTTGGGTTAATTGAGAATATTTAATATTTATAATTAAAACATAGAAAAAAAAATTCGAAACATGATACAGAAGTAAAACTTGAAGCGAAATCTATGGGATATAATAATGTAAAGAGATTTAGTAAAAAGAGATTTTTCTACTTAATTTTCTATATAATATTTCTTTCATTAATTAATTACCTAAGCAAATAATTCTTCATTTTTATGGACTAATTGTTATAACTTGAAATTATTTTTATTAGTTCTGCTATTCTGCAATAATTAGAATTCTACATTCAAATGCCTCATTTAAATTATATTTTGTATTGATATGGTAAAATAAATAAATTAATCATGAAAGATAAATTTATGACAAAAACACACAATGAAGAGTGAAATTTCACTATATAGAACACACAATGAATTAAATTAACCTTGATAGAGGTATATATTTTAATTTATTGATTGCCTTGGTAACAAAATAAACTTATACGTGAAAGGTAACCTATGAAA